GGATGGATGGAACAATAAGATCTGTAATATAAGATGGAGCTAGGTTGTTGAGAGCTTTGTAGGTTAGAAGTAAGATTTTGAATTCTATTCTGGATTTGACAGGGAGCCAATGGAGAGAAGCTAAAACTGGAGAGAGATGATCTCTCCCAGTAACTCCAGTTAAGACTCTGGCAGCAGCATTTTGGATCAACTGAAGACGTTTTAAAGAAGTATTTGGACACCCAGATAATAAACCATTGCAATAGTCCAGTCTAGACGTGACAAATGCATGGACCAGTTTTTCTGCATCATCTTTAGATCAGATGTTTCTAATGTTAGTGATATTACGCAGGTGGAAGAAGGAGGTTCTAGTAACGTTTTTAATGTGGGGGATAAAAGACGTGTCCTGATCAAAAATAACACCAAGATTTTTAACATTAGAGCTGGAGGACAGATTAATGCATCTAAGGAGGGAGAAAGACTGAAACATTCATTCCTAAGGTGCTCAGGTCCAAAAACCAAAACCTCAGTCTTGTCTGTTCAACAGGAGAAAATTAAGGGTCATCCAGGTTTTTATGTCTTTAAGACATGCTTGTAGTCTAAGTTTCATGTTTCATGTTTTTTGTTTCTGTTAAAGCCTAAAATAAATGTCTTTTTTACCCCCAGTTATTTATTATTTTTATTTGTTTAAAGCTTGATATGGGGGAAGTGGAGGTGAATCAGTAGATTACAATCTGCAACTTCATTTTTAGGCGCCCCTAACGTTGACATTAAAATAAAGCCAGCTCAGACTCAACCACACACATTATTCCTGTGTATTTGCTTCAGATCAGTCTGAGGAAACAACCAGGTAGTTCACCCAGTTCTGCTCCCAGAAACCTGCCAGGTGAATTGTGTTTGTGGCTTATTTATGCAGACCCCCCCGGCGTGACATTCTCTCTGTTTGATGTAATATTTATGAAGCTTCATCCAAGCCCCTACCTTCTTTCCTGTTGTCAGCCCCCCACCAACCTGCTCCTCACCACCTCAGCAGAGAAGATGCTGTGAAACTTCTCAGCAGTCCTGAGTACAAACTCATGAAACTTCATAAAATACCCCCCCCCCCCCCAGGTCATAATACGTGCTGTCTCCGTGGTTTTAATTTAGCATGAAGGCATGAGCAAACATCAAGCTTTGTATTAAAAAGCGGTAACAAATCATTTTCTGCAGCGCAGCTTCAACCACATGAAGAAGAAAAGATCTGAAAAGGAGACAGTAAAACATCATTTATTGGTTTAGAGTTCATTTGAACTTCCGTCACCTAAAGAGTGTTTTCAACATCTTCGCTCAACCATTTTGCTTTTTAAAGATTGTAGCAACCAAGAAACAAACCGCAACATTTCAATCTTATATCGGTGCTTTGGCTTTACTCGGTATTTTATTACTCTCAACAAAAAACGATAATTGTTTGTTGCCTGTGTGTGGGTTTGTTTATCTGCAGCGTTAGCAAAATATCTCATGAATCAATGGGCTTATTTTAGAAAATCCCTCAAAGTATTGAATGGTTTGACATTTATAATTTAACTTTTGGAGTCAACCGTTCAAGATGGCCGTCATGGACAACACAGAAACGTCTTTAACAGCTTTACAGATAATCAGCTAAAAGTGTGTGTGGTACCTGAGCGTCATCTTCAAGACCTTCTTAGAGCTCTACACATGTCACGTCTTACTTTAGTTATAACCATTGGCATCAACTTTGTTTGTCTGTTAGTAAAATATCTCGTCAATCACTGACCTGTTTCACATTTTAGTGAAAATCCCAGAAAGTAATAACTGGGTGAACCGGTACAACTCGTCGAATTGGCGTTTTCTAATATAAGTGAATATTTTGGACTTGGTGTGAAATGGCAAAACATAAAATAACTGAATTAAGTTTTTGTGTCAATCACAAGACGACTGCCACAACTCCTCAAACCGAACCAACACACAAACAACTACAGAAATGAAGCTTCGTCTGCTGTGGTAGTAGCTGAGCGTTCTCCTGAACATGTATCTTCATCGCTGATAAATCTCCTTATATCACAAAATAATCTTAGTTTAAAATGTGATCTGCGTTTCTTCAAGAAATGTTTATTTTATTTCCTTGTTAGAAACTTTGAGTCTGACGTGGATGTTGGTGAAACAGGATCTGGACCTAGATCTCTCAGAAACCTGCAGAATGTCCATGTTTAATACTGAACTCTGAGCACAGATCTGAGAACTGAGCTAAACGTCGTAAAACCACGAGACGCTCGTCACAAAAATACATTTCTGTTTATATGATTTTAATTTGATGCGTTTAGAAGAGAAGCGATCGTCACCCTCTGTAATCACTCACACACACACACACACACACACACACACACACTTCCTGTGTCTCTCTGTGACATTCCATGTGTTAGATCAGCGTGTGGTTTGGGGCTTTACTGTCTTTTTTACTCTTTTTTTATCGACCTTCTTTATGTCCTCCTTCTTTTCCTCCTGTCCTCTGCTGACCCTGTCCTGTCCCAACGCCTGCCTGCCTGCTGCCTTCCAGAGGGTTCAGAAAGCTGCCAAAATCAAGAAAAAGGCGGTGTGTAATGAACAGAGCAAAAGGAAGAGCCTCCGGCCACGCTCCTTCCATTGTCTAACCTTCCTCTTGTTGCATCTTTGCTCATCTGTGTCCTCGCCCATCTTCTGTCTCACATTCGTAAAAATTGTTGCACAACAATTTTTCACCCAGTTTGTGTACAGCTAAGCGTTGAGGCATTGATATTTTTCCAAACTGGATTGGAAATCGATCAGATCTTTGTTTTTACAAGCCTACATTTCTCTCTATATTAAAACTGCAAACACCTCATTAGCATAAACTCACATCCAGCCCCAAGGTAGCCGACACCGCATCAGAAGAAGGTTTAGTCAGGCTGTCAAATAACGAGATGTGAGTGTGACATTATCCTTTCAACGCTGAGCCATCCAATTTGTTCTATATCGTTACCATAACTAGTAACGTGAAACGCCAAAATAATACCCAGGAAAGATGTTTTAGTGACATCTTACATTTAAAAGTGGAAAGTAGAAGCTTCATGTTGATGTGCTGCCATCAGTAAGAGAGGGCTGATTTATTTCTTTATGTCTGGCTGCTAAACAGACTGTGATGATGCTTCAATAATTCACACGTGCGCTCTCCTTGTTTCTGGCTGCAGAACAAATCAAAGGTGTGGTGGATGCAGCCTTTGATTAAGTTATAGAGCTTTTTAAACTAAAGTCGTCTCTGTTTATTTGTTTGTTCCAGTTCAAGTTCAAAGTGAACATCACCCCTCCTCGGTCTCATTCCACACTGCACTGACGTTATACGCAAAACAATACGACGCACACACACTTTAGATATGACGCACACACACTTTAGATACGACGCACACACACCTTAGATTCTGTAAAATCCTTCAGTCAAGGATTAAACTGAGCTTTTCAATTAGTTTTCAGATCAGTTTGACCTCCATGTTCCTTACAGTTATCTACAAATTATAAACTGTCCTTTTGTATTTTATTTCCCATTTCTGATTTGTTGGTGTTACATACAATAATTACCCGCTACATCAGCTAACTGTAAACTGTACGCTTCAGAACACGCCTTCAGTTTTTGTTTGTTTGTTTGTTTATTCTAATATGCAGTTTAGGGTCTAAACTTAATTTTTGAGATGCTTAGATGTTTGCATTACTCCCCACCACGTCACTCATTAAACAACGGTAGAAATCAGAAGTAGTGCGGTGACGTTCAAGTCAAGTTTCTAAACGACTGACCGTGACCGTCACTGTGTTCTGTATTTTATTTGCTGTTTTCAAGTCTGAAAAAATAAAAGTGTTTCCAGATGAGATTTAGAAACAGCCAGTGTTGGAGCCTGTCCTGAATATGTAGGAGCACTTGGTCACAGATTTAAAGATCACATCCCCACTGTGTACCAGCAACGACCACAGGTTTACACCAAGACGTCCACACAGAAAACAGACATGAAAATAAAATAAAACAAATAAATTATATATAAATATGTATATGTATCTATATTTATTATTATTATACTTTTTTTTTTATCTGAGCAAAAGGCAAGTTGTTGCTTTCAGGCAGAATACAAAACAATTTTTCAAGGCATTTAAAAAACAAGTATTTCTTTCCAAATATATAAATTGTGTTGACGAGCACTTTCTGACACCCTCCGTTGGTTGGTCGTCCATAAAGCCCCAGACGTGACTGAACTGGTTTATACAAGATGGAAAACGGAGATGCAAGGAGAAAATAAGCCAGTGTTAGACTAATGCCGTGTACAGCTACTCCCTTTTACATCATTCACTTTTATCACTTACAAGTTTTGAATGAACGCGTATTTTTGTAAGGAGACCTAGTTTTATATCAGCTCCAGCAGAATATAATCCTCTCAGTTTATGGAAGCCCAGCCTGTAAATTATCACTTGAAGGTAAATGAAAAACTAAGAAAGCTTCAGTCGGACTTTACAGTTGGACACAGTAATATTAACTTTCAGTCATTTTGAACAACTTAAAGCAAACATGTCGAATGAAGCAACAGATTTCCAGCTTTCTATTTTCTTTTAAATTCAGAATGGATTGGAGTTCTAAGCGGAGTCAATAATGACTTGAATTAGTTTTCTGGGTTTGTTTTGTTTCTACCCCTCAATATAAAAATGGTAAATGGACTTTGTGAGCAAGCACAAGTCTTTACTTAAGAAGTGAAAACCATAAAATGGACAACGTTACATTGAAATCATGAATCAGCAGCTCCTGTTCGCAGCCGTCCTGGTTTGGTTTCAAGGCACTTTTCCACACTTGGAGCGGGATCATAAGAAGGATGAGGACAGTTTCATGCTGCAGCCTCAGATTAATTATCACGATCTGCCATCTGGTGCCGTCTGTATGTTGGGGTTCACCCCGATGAACAAGAGGATGGCCTCCCTCCGCCTACGTGTGGGGGGACGGGTTCTGACTGTTGTTTGTGCTTATGCACCAAACCCTTTTTGGAGTCATTGGAGGGGTACTGAAGAGTGCCCCTCCTGGGGACTCCCTTGTTCGGCTGGGGGACTTCAACGTTCACGTGGACAATGACAGTGAGGCCTGGAGGGGTGTAGTTGGGAGGAACAGCCCCCCCTAATCTGAACTCGAGTGGTGTTCTGTTGTTGGACTTCTGTGTTCGTCATGGATTGTCTATAACAAACACCTTGTTCAAGCATAAGGGTGTCCATATGTGCACTTGGCACCAGGACACCCTAGGCCGCAGTTCGATGATCGACTTTGTCGTTGTCTCATCTGATCTGCGGCCGCATGTCTTGGACACTCGGTTGAAGAGAGGAGTGGAGCTGTCCACCTGGTGGTGAGTTGACTCCTATGGTGGGGGAGGATGCGGTCAGACCTGGCAGGCCCAAACGTGTTGTGAGGATCTGCTGGGAACGTCTGGCAGAGTCTCCTGTGAGACGGAGCTTTAACTCCCACCTCTGGGAGAGCTTCAAACACGTTCCGGGGGAGGTGGGGGACATTGAGGCCGAGTGGCCATGTCCCACGCCTCCATTGTCAAGGCGGCTTTTTGGAGCTGTAGCCACAAAGTTGTTGGTGCCTGTTGCAGCGGTAACCCTCGAACCTGGTATGGTTGACACCAGCAGTGAGGGATGCTGTCAGGCTGAAGAAGAAGTCCTATCAGGCCTTTTTGGCCTGTGGGACCCCGGTCAAAGCTGATGGGTACCGGCAGTCCAAGCAGCATGTGGCTTGGGTGGTCGCTGAGGCAAAAACTCAGGCATGGGAGGATTTTGGAGAGGCCATGGAGAATGACTTCTGTACGGCTTTGAGGCAATTCTGGTCCACCATTAGGCATCTTGTGCATGGGGGGCTGTACAGCACCAACTCTTTATATTGGAGGTGGTGTGCTGCTGACCTCAACTCGGGATGTTGTGGGTCAGTGGGCAGAATACTTCGAAGACCTCCTCAATCTCACCAGCACATCTTTCACTGAGGAAGCGAACCTGGGGACTTTGGGTTGGCTCTCCAATCTCGGCTGCTGAGGTCACCAAGGTGGTTAAAAAGCTCCTCGGTGGCAGGGCCCCAGGGGTGGATGAGATTTGCCCGGAGTTCCTTAAGGCTCGGGTTCCTTAAGGCTCTGGATGTTGTGGGGTTGTGTTGGCTTACACGACTCTGCAATATTGCATGGACATTGGGGGCAGTTCCCCTGGATTGGCAGACCAGGGTGGTGGTTCCCCTATTCTAAAAGGGAGACCGCAGAGTGTGTTCTAACTACAGGGGGATCATGCGCTTAAGCCTCCCTGGTAAGGTCTATTCAAGGGTTCTGGAGAGGAGGGTCTACCAGATAGTTGAACCTCAGATTCAGGAGGAGCAGTGCGGTTTTCATCCTGGTCGTGGGACACTGGACCAGCTCTACACCGTCAGCAGGGTCCTGGAGGGTGTGTGGGAGTTTGCCCAACCGGTCTAAATGTGCTTTGTGGACTTGGAGAAGGTATTTGACTGAGTCCCTCGGGGAAACCTGTGGGAGATACTCCAGGAGTATCGGGTACCAGGCCCTTTGATACGGGCTGTTAGGTTCCTGTACGACCGGTGTCAGAGCCTGGTCCACATTGCTGGCAATAAGTCGGGCTCATTCCCACTGATAGTTGGACTCCACCAAGGTTGCCCTTTGTCACCGATTCTGTTCATAACTTTTATGGACAGAATTTCTATATGCAGCCAAGGTGTTGAGGGGATCCGTTTTGGTGGCCTTAAGATAGCCTCTCTGCTTTTTGCAGATGATGTGGTCCTATTGGCTTCAGCAGGTCGTGATCTATAGCTTTCGCTGGAGCGGTTCGCAGCCGAGTGTGAAGCAACCGGGATGAGGATCAGGGCTTCCAAATCCGAGGCCATGGTCTTGAACCGGAAAAGGGTAGAGTGCCCTCTCCAGGTCGGGGAGGAGGTCCTGCTCCAAGTGGAGGAGTTTAAGTATCTCGGGGTCTTGTTCAAGACTGATGGAAAAATGAAGTGAGAGCTCAATAAGCGGATAGGTGCGGCATCTGCAGTGTAGCGGGTGCTGTACCGGTCTGTCGTGGTGAAAAGAAAGCTGAGTCAAAAGGCGAAGCTCTCAATTTACCGGTCGCTCTGTTCCCACCCTCATCTATGGTCACGAGCTTTGGATTGTGACCGAAAGAACGAGATCACGGATACAAGCGGCTGAAACGAGTTTTCTCCGCAGGGAGTCTGGTCTCTCCCTTAGAGATAGGGTGAGAAGCTCGATCATCCGGGAGGGACTCCAAGTAGAGCCGCTGAGCCAGTTGAGGTGGCTCGGGCATCTGGTTAGGATGCCTCCTGGACGCCTCCCTGGTGAGGTGTTACAGACACGTCCCACCGGAAGGAGACCCAGAGGAAGACCCAGGACACGCTGGAGGGACTATGTTTCTTGGCTGTCCTGGGACGTCTTGGGATTCCCCCGGAGGAGCTGGACCAAGTAACTGGGGAGAAGAAAGTCTGGGCCTCCCTATTTAGGCTGCTACCTCCACGACCCAACCCCGGATAAGCGGAAGAAAATTTCTGGATGGATGGATGGATAGATGGATGCCATCTGGTGTATTGAACCCAAGTGCAGGTAGATGACTGGAGGCTCGGGGGTAAAAGTTCCAACAGATTTTTTTCCAAATCAAAAACCAAACGGGGCATCTTACTCACAAGTACTGAGGACAGGACGGGAGGCAGAGCACGACACCAGAGAAGGACCAACCGGAGACAAACGACAAGACACTAAGGAGCCGAATAAATACACACACTAACGAGGACAAATGACAAGCACCTGCGGTGATTAACACTGAACACAGGTGAGACGAGGGCTGAGCACAAGGAGGAGGAACACTGAGAGGTGAATGAAAACATGAGGAAACAGACAAAGACAGGACAAAACCCCAGAACTCCTACATTAATAGTCTTCTGTATTAAACTGCTGTGAAATGTGTTTAATTTTTTATAACTCTCCTTGTTTTAAATGCTCTAAAGAATCCTAATTAAAGTCAAGCAAATATAATTTTACTGGTGTGCAGCTTGCAGCGATCAGAGGGAAATGTACGCCGGCTTGTTCTGCTCTCGCTGGTGTTACAACCAGCTGGTGGGGGCTCAGCGTTGGACTGTGTCTGGTTTCTGCTCTAGCTCCCACTCTTCATGCCAGAACAGCTGATGTGAACCAACACTGTCGCCAAAACGCTTTCTGTTTCTGTCGTTTCCACATCACCTTTACAGTCATCAACTGTCCATCCGACAAAACATCCCCCCAGCCAGGCACCGAGCTGAACATGCATGCAGCTGTTGTCTCTATAACTCTTACATTTAACACAGACAGCAGCGTTTACTGTGAATAATCACGTTTGGTGCAATGATCTTAAAACATTGAACGTCAGGGAGGAAAGGATTTGACCAGTCTGTGTTTTTGTCTGTTCCTTTCAGAGTGCAGATGGAGACGCTCAGACTCTCACTGAGGTCGATCTGTTCATCTCCACCCAGAGGATCAAAGTCCTCAACGCAGACACGCAAGTAAGTACTTCCTGTTTCTCCTCTGTTTCTGAAACCGAGAGAATAAAAGCTGCTCTCCTTGAAGGTGCACGCTGAATCCCGGTGAAGGAGATGTTTGGCTGTGCAGAAGCTTTGATGGAGGGTGAAAGTCAGGAAAACCCCAAAGTCACAACGTGCAAACGTTTTATTTATTTTACAATAATTCAGTTATTACCTTTACCAACAAAAAGCATATTTTATTGAAATGTTCAGAAAATAAACGTTGGATGTGCATCTATAACTAACTTCCAGGGTCCTAAGTCTAAGTCAAGATGGCAGCCACAGCTAATCAACAAGTGCAAAAGTGGCTAAAACTCAGTGGTTTATACAGATTTTGAGCTGAAATTTGACAAGAGAGTAGCCGAGAGTCAATGACAGCATAAACCACGACTATTCAGCTGGTGGCCCGCGGGTGACCTGAGTCCAACCCACCAATGAGTTCATTAAATAACAAATAAAATAAAAATCAGGTGGGGCGTTGTTTTGGGTTCTGTTGATTTCATTTATGATTCAATCGACAAAATAAACAAATTTAAAAGATAACAGATCATAGTAATACTTGTTTATAATCACTTTAATCACTGCATGTCCGGCCCCAGAGCTGCTGCTCTCAGTAACTGTGGCCCCTGAGCTGCTGACTCTCAGTAACTGTGGCC